CTCTCTCTCTCTCTCTCTCTCTCATATCTATCTCTCTCTATTCTCTCTCTCTCTCTCTCTCTCTCCTTCTCTCTCTCTTCTCTTCTCTCCCTCCCCTCTCCTCTCCTCTCCCTCCCCTCCCTCCCTCCTCTCTCTCCCTCCCTCCCTCCCTCCCTCTCTCTCTCTCTCTCTCTCTCTCTCTCTCTTCTCTCTCTCTCTCCTCTCTCTCTCCTCTCTCTCTATCCTCTCTCCTCTCTCTCCTCCCTCCCTCCCCTCCCCCTCCCTCCCTCCCCTCCGCCTCCTTCCCCTCCCCCTCCCTCTCTCTCTCTGCTCTCTCTCTCTCTCTCTCTCTCTCTCTCTCTTCTCTCTCTCCTCTCTCTCCCTCCCTCTCTCCCTCCCTCCCTCTCTCTCCCTCTCTCTCTCTCTCAAAAATGCAGATATAGAAATGGTGAGCGTACCTCACACATTTCACCCACTCTGCCGTTAATGGCCCGCATTCGTGGTGTTCTTTGACTGAGGTTCTCGGTTCGACTCTAGCCAAATGTTAGTTTTACGACACTGTTCCTCGTTTTACTGGCTTTTCACGTTCACTCCAACACATGTTCACTCTGTCACTGCTCGAAATAGTAAAATCTCCAAGAACTTGTGCAGAACGCATCAAGCACGCATTTTAAACAGCTTCCTTCAAGAGCAAGAACCACCACCTATGTTCACAACTGTGACACCGTGTGTACTCGGCAAGATTCGCACGTGAAAGAGCCAGCCGTGTCTACCTGAGCCGGTGTCAGCCAGTTGCACACCACACGCACGGCCGGCGGAGCCTTGGAGGGGTAGTCATCAGGCAGGCAGAACTCCAGACATATCGGCGGCAGGTAGCGCACCGATATTACATCCTTGCCTGGGGGAGACATGAGGAGAGAATGAACCGGCATCTCCTTGCCTCAGGGTAACATGGGGAGAAAATCCCACAGCAGTTCCCAAGAGTTTACGTGTGGTGTATCATGGAAGAAGATACACCACACGAGATACCTGCCCTAGAGTCATGTCGAGGACAGCACAAAACATTTTGAAAACGAGCTATCCTCTGATGAAGAACTCAGCAATGAGCAACAGCGTTGTGGCCACAAGGAGCCTCCGGTGACATAAGCATTGTAACCCAATGGTAAAGTTTCTGAAGGCAGAGAAAACATGACGGGCTGCCCTTGGCTCGGTGCCATCAGCCCTGATACTGTGCTTCCTATTCAATATGTGTATTATTTATCAGGTTCCTGGTATCTGACCTGTAAGAATTTGTAAGACCAATTAAATCAAACTCTTAATTATTCGCTGTCCCCATGTAAGTTTGCACAACCCTGTGTGAGGGGGCTATTTCAGATATTTCCTCTTATTATTAACAAATAGTCACCAGAACGTTCAACTCGCCAATGACCACACAGACACCCTCAGATTTAAGAGCACATACCAGCAAAATGGTCAGCACTCAGCAGTCCAAATATTTCAGAACTTCAGTACTATTGGGTCCGAAACTGAAGCCAAAAACAGGAAGGTCTTTTTGTAATAGCATCAACACAATGTTTCGCTTACAAACATTAATAAACGTCATGCTTAATGCAATTAGCAACTACTGCCAGCTGAAATGGGAGTCCCCGTCCCACCCCTTACAGCATGAACAACCGCCAAAAGGTCATAGGTGAGAAAGTCCCAGGCGATCTCCAACATCATGGATAATCAAAACTATCAAGATGATGTATGGCATTAGCCTGAAGCTCACAGAAACCAGCACGGAAGATGAGCGCTGGTGTGAAAAGTACTGGTAACGTAGCCACCATCTCCCGCTCAAATTTACTAAGGACTCCACCTCATTACCATTCATCCACCTACTTACCACTTTTCATCTTAAAAACTAAATGCTCAACAATGCTTCAAGTTGCATTCCTATATTGAATACTGTGACAACTGCCAAACTGTAGTTTATTCAGGAAGTCGTACACCGTCGGGCTCGACAATCATTATGCAAAGGACTCATTAGCTGGCAACAAGCCATACACAGTGCAACCTTGAGAGCTAGCATAAGAGCATGCAGCATGCAGCAACGAGTGTGCCCATGGCCGCACGCACCAAGCAGCCACCCTGCAAGGCGAATGCAGCACGTGACACCAAAAGCACTTGCGCAATCACCCAGGCATGCACATGCAACACGCAACATTCCTCCCATCCCAAGCTGCAACACAACCGCCGGAGATGGCGAGAGCCGAGCATAGCGCTCAGTAGGTCACAGCATATTGGGTATGAGCCGCTGCCACAGGAGAGTGCGACCAAAAGACACGCAAAAGAGCTTGGCTGGACAGCGAAACTAGGACTTTAAAACTTCTTCAGAGTATCATAAATCAAGCTTAACTGAGGCCCGTCGACGCCGTTCGCTCCTTCTCCGCTGAGGATAAGCTTCCATCTCAGTCATTTTTCCGTCCAGTTAGCAGATGATTGTACCTAAGTTTCATCTAACCGTGTACCAACATCTGTTCTGCGCCCTGAGCTGATAATCCCAGCCCCTGCTGCTACTGCTTCTTTTTTTCACTGCTCCAATTTTCATTTTTTTTTCAATTTCAAAAAAAAAATTCACAATTTTTCCACTGCTCCCGATTCGTTTCCAGGCTCAGCATCCTCTACATCTTTGTCCGCGATTTCCATATCTGCGTCATCACCCTCTCTCAGGAATCCTGAACTTTCAGTCAGTGAACCGCCAGCCGTCCACCTGCTTCATCCCTGTTGAACGCATCCTTACAGTCACATTTCTTCACTTCCTTTGATACTTCTTCTCTCCGCTGTTCCTGAAATGGCTTAAACCGATCGTGATGGACTACCATCCGATATTTCGCTCTTTCTTTAAATCTGACCCGGTACGTCACACCTTCTTGCAAGACCGTAACCACCTGGTATGGCCCACACCACGACATCTGCAACTTTGGAGAGCGGCCCACCCGCCTCGTCGGTTTGTACAGCCACACCATATCCCCGACTCAGACATACTGACGAGCGCCCTGCGCTTGCCTTTCAGGTCGTTTCCGGGCCTCACGTACGGTATTGTCTTGCACTCGGCGCTGAGCTTGACGGAGGGATTCCATCATCTCTTGCACGTACTCCGTCTTGTCACAGGTCGATTGTCCATTACAATGCATCATCTGAGTGGGTAGTCTGGCTTGCTGTCCATAGAACAGGAATGGCGACTGTTTTGTGGCTTCGTTGAAGCTTGTGCGACAAGCAAACATAACGAACGGTTGGTGCCTATCCCAGTCTCGCTGATCTTCACGGACATACATTAACAGCACTGCGCATAGAGTGGGGTTCAATCTTCAGTTTGGCTGTTGCCTTATGCATGGTACGGGGTTGTACGAGTCTTTATTATGTTCAGAATTCTGCAGATTTCATAGATTGCCGTCGCTTCAACATGTCTTACCTGATCCGAGTGGATCACCTCCGGACACCCGTGGCGACATATCAGCTCTTACACAAACCCTGGACCAATCGTCACCGGCTCTCGCACCTGGAACCACAGAGTGGTCCTCTTCTACGTCTCTCAGTGAAAACCCACCTGAGCTCGGTTACGCGCAAAATGGCCAGGCTGTCCACGTCAGTAGCACAGACCACCACGCCCCTGCTGTAGGCCACCAGTCCCTGGCCAAGTAGGCACGACTACCACAACGATAGCAAACACCACCAGGGAAAGTTATTCCTCCATGACTTCCATGTCCAGCGCGCTCACCCCCTCGGTAAGCACCTTTACCGCGCACTCCACGGGGAGCACGCCCGAAGCTCAATCTGCCAACGCTCGCCTAAAGCTCTACCATGAAGGCTGCCATCGCGCTGACCTGGTCGCGGAGCTCCGCCACCTCCTCCGCTACGGCAGACCGCGCCCCCAGCCTCCTCGCCGGCGAAGGAGTCGGAGCCGAAGGTGCACCGCAAACCTGCCCAATCCTTCCTGTCCGTCGCTCCAAGTCGGCCAGGGACTCGTCTTCTATGGCTTGAAGCGTCAGTTGCGTAGTGAGATTGTAATTTAGACCATCGGTGAATTGAGCTTCGACAATCCCTTCTCGAGGACGAGATGCCCATTCTGGGTAAGCCTGTTCTGCAAGTTGCTGTAACTCATGCAGGAATTCAGCAGTTGACTGTCCCTGCTGGCATCGCTATGATCTCAACTGCAGTACATAGCCACTCTGCAAGCCAGGTGAGTCAAACTCGGACATCCGCAATGTTTGAGACTCTGTATACATGCTTTTGTGCTTCTCTAGCAAATGGCTGAAGAAATCATATACCTTGTCAGACAGTGATTTGGACAGCTGTCCCAGTTTGGTAGCCTCATCATTCCAGCCATTAACCAGCACATACTGCTCAAACTTGTGACTGTAATGCTCAAGATTGTCCCTCCCATCAGTCTCTTCATCTGGCCACTTTACCTCCAGATGTCATGATGGTTGCCTTTATCTCTTCCTGAATTGTTGGCTTAATGTCCTGTTCAGGTATTGTCTTCAGCATCAGGTCTGGCCATAACTGCCACCATTGTGACAATTGCCAAACTGTAGTTTATTCAGGAAGTAGCACACCATGAAACTGAACACTCATTCCACAACACATGCAAATAGCTCATTAGCTGGTGATTGGCCATACACAACATGCAGTCTGGAGAGCTAGCATAAGGGCATGCAGCAACAAGAATGTCAGCGACCACATGCCGGCAAGCAACCACCATGCAAGCCAATGCAGCAAACAACACCAAGTGTGTGCACAAACACCCAGACATGCACATGCAACATGTCATAATACCAACTAATATTCAGCAAAGTTGGGAGCATGGCACACTCACATCCAAAAGAGGATTACTGACAAATTACTTCCACAAACTGGTAAGAGAATGCCCTGCATTTAAACTAAATACATCACCTAATGACTAGAAAAATGACAAATACCTAAAGCAGCTGAGCACTTTGATGTGCAACATAATACTTTTAGCAAAGGAGCTCACCAACTTCTGGTGGCTTGATCTCCAGATCGCATTGGTGTTCAATGGGCACACTGATGACACCAGTCATGGTTGCCTGGTCAACCATGAACACACTGTCATGGCCATATATGCTGTCCATGGCCAGCATCTCCTCTTCCTGAGCTTCCTTGTCAGTCATACTTGTCAGGCAACTGAAACAGCCAAACTGATTAGCCACAGACAGGTGCATATTTTCTACTTCACATGTATATGCCCATTACAGTTTGGTGGGGACTTAAAAGCAATTTGCTAAGCAAGTGTTACATATTAAGGTTAAGGAATTCAGACAGGCTCACTGGTCATACTAAGACAAAGGGTATCTTTTATGTAGCACATTTGCCTATATGTGCCAGACAAAACAAAATAAAATTGGATTCTTCCTAACCTTCTAGTGTCTTGAAGCCCCAAACAATAGGAAAACAGTAAATTTAAAAGCACTAAATGCACCAACTAAAAAAGCCTAAAAATGCCTGTTCACCATGTCATTGCATTTACTACATGCATTTAAACACATTCCCATCCTATTTCAGCAAAGGCTTCTACTGTTATGCATGCCTATATATGGTCACACTGATTTCTTTGGGATTCATCTAAATTTTAACTGACCACAGGCTTCCATAAGGTAATACAAACTTTCACACCTGCCTAGCAAATCTACCTTGACTTGTAATCAATTAAGAGTATTTACCTCAACCACCAGTAGATAGCTTATGAGTATTTTACCACCTTGGGCCATCCAGGGTACAAATGGCAGACCCACTCCAATTCACTATGCTCATATTTTGAAAAATAATCACAATGAACATTCCATTATAGCCAGAATCTGAAAAATGCACTTAACACTACCAACATTTTGAGCAAAACATCTCAGAAAATACTTCAGCCATACCACCATAAGCCCAAGCACTCTCAGTATAGCATAAGATCTCCACCAATAGCAGAGCAGAGTATCAACATTTCAGGGAACTGTGATAATTAAAGGTAATTGCAGTCAAAAATGCTCTCAACATACCCATACACACAAACACAATGTGAAAATGTGGAACAATTTGGCCAGACCCATGTTTGTTTGGTACATGTTGGTTTGGTAATGTTTGGTACCTGCATGAGCCCAATTCAAGGCACCAATTTATATTGGGAATCTATCAGTGATGAATCTTTTGTTGACTGGTGCTGTAGCAGCCAGGTATTCTTGGCTTAGCAGTGTGCAAAGGCATCATCCACTGCATCAAACAGCCATGAAATGCATGTGCACAAAGCCTTATCATTACATACCCTGAACCTGAGGCGAATCCCCGCAAAACGCCCCACCGACTGGAGCCCTCACATGTATATATCGCTAGGCAACGCTGGTGGGCGAGCACCATGTGGGTCACCACCAAGGCCCAATAACGTCATAACATATCGCCTTAGCCACAACCATGCGCAACACCGCCTCTACCACTGGGTCAGGCTGGGTCAGGCTCATTGTCCGTGCGCTCCGGTGGGTTTGCTCTGCAGCCCCCGAGGTGAGTTTTACTGACGATTTTGGTGCTCCACGTTGTACTAAAGCTACGTTTCATTCATGATCCTCCGCGACCAAACCAAAGCAGTAGTTTAGCGATCCAAGAAAATCACACCGCGAAACATATTTACGAGTGCAGGAAATAGCGCATTTGTTTCCATTGTTGCGCATGAAGTTTCGCGTTAATTTTCATCCGAAGCTTTGTAAGAAGCTCATGAACTGGGGTGGGTGCGCGTCCATCATTCTGGTTTTTGTTACCTGGTTAATGCATTTGGATGCTCCGGACGATGAGACATTGTTTGCTAGGAGTCTTATTGTTTGATTGGTGCACTCCCAGCCGGGTTAGCGCCAAAATTACCTAGGTGGCGTAGGCCTCTCCGCCGAGCACACGATCCGATCACGGGCGGACTTACGAGCATTACCTCCATAAGCTATTGCTTGCATTTGCGATTGCGTAGTGCAGAGGTGGCAGAACCTCTGTGAAATGCGAGGAAGCTAAGATAACTTTTGCTGTGTTGTTTTCCCTGTACCATCAGAGGATCAGTGCAAACTGGCAAATATGTGAACCCCAGACATGTGGGACAGACTGAATCCCATCCTGAATAGGGTGATAAAACTAGGTTTTAATCAATTCTGGGTTTTAGTGATAAAACGCAACTCACACCCATCATGGCTGCCAGTTTTGTGAAGTTAAACAGCTTGGTGGACATTAACCAGCACAATTGCTTTTCAGACTTTGGGACCACATTTTAAGGGTTCATGTACTATTGGTTATAAATTGCTGTTGGCATATGAAAATATGAAGCTGTAAAAACTGAAGAGCATTGAAGAGGCACAATAACTTACCTGGTAGGTAGCAGTGGAAACAGGTGCTGTGGGCTTGCATTTTGTTTCACAGCCTGCTGTTTCAACCATGGGACATTTGTTCATTATGTGAGACACATATAGCATATAGGTGCTGTGTTAATCACCATTGTTGCTATTTCTGACATGATTTGCTGCAGGGACTGTGATTTCTTAACATGATGACAATGCTAATCCTGTGGCATCACAGTCACATAAAATTAGTTTGCCCCAGTCTTAGTCATGATGTTTCTGGTAATAAATGAGACTGAGAGAAAGTTATTCATAACCTGTTTCCACAGCCAGCCTTAACACCACTGCCTCTTGTGTTCAATCAGGAGCTGATGGGGGAGCCAGTGGGTTCGTGGTCCAGCGACTGGGAGCCGCTGGAGAGCGGCTGGGCAGGGGACGACGCCGTACTACTGGAGGCGGTTAGCGGACGTCCTCACACCTGCTCTCCCCCGCCTGGTCCGGCCCATGCTGATGTCATCGGGCGGCCGGAGCGACGCCACTCGTCCGGCCCCGCCGATGCTTCCGACTGCTCGGCCAGCCCAGTGTTGCGGCCGGCGCCCGCCCGCGCCCGGCGCGCGGCCAACTCTACCGACGCCGAGCCGGCCGGCCGCACGGCCGCCACCGCGGCTGCGACCACCGCCAGGGCCGGTCCGGCGTCCAGCCGCGTCCGTAGACGAGCGTTGCCGCGCGTGCGCCGCTTCCTGTACCCGGGGCCGAGCCAAATCTCTCGCGACACGCCGCCTGCGCGACTCCCGCCGGGCACGCGGCGCGCGGCCGCCACTGCTGCTCCCGCCCCCACCCCCGCCCCCCTCACGGCAGCCGAGGAGCGGGACGTGCGTGCCTGCCTCAGCACCATCGTCACCTCGCTTGAGGAGGACGGCGAGGCGTTCTTCACGCAGTGCCGGGTTAGTCCGGCAGCCGGGGCTGAAGAGATGGCACCACAGGCGTGCCCGCCTTCTGAGGAGGGCGGCGTTGGCCGATACGTCGCCAGGCCCGATGAAGGAATGATGACTCCTTTAGCTGCGGACGGGACAGGCACCACTGACGCTGATGTCGGCGGCGGCGACAGCAGCGCCAGGCTAGGCCTGGCGGACCCGGCAGAAGTGGCGCCCTGCCCGGACGGCTCAGGGGACGGTGGCGGATCTCTGGTGTCGTCTGACCCGGCGGCCGGCCGCAGCAGGGCTGGGGGCCGGGCGCTGGGGTGGGTCGGACGCGAGGGGGCCGAGCGGACGGCGAGCCCCGCTGCCGGCGACGGCCAGCGCCCCGCCGCCGCTGTCCTGAGAGATGTGACAAACGCAGCTGCCGCGTCGGCCGGCCGGCCCCCGCGGCAGGAGCTGTCTTCGGCGGGCCGACTCGGCTTCTGCGAGTGCTCGACACCGCTGGGCCGGCCGGCGGACGCCGCCGGCGGCGGCGGCGGGCTGGCGCGCGCCAAGCGGCTCTGGAGCGAGCCGGACGACGACGCCGGCTCTGACGACGACGTCAGCGGCTCGCCAGTGCTCACCAGCCACCAGAAGCGGCCGCGACAGGAGCGGGAAGGGCGCGAGCAGTGGCCGACCGCCGTCTCCGAGCCGGAGGCCCGTCCCGGCTCAGAACCGCAGCCCAGGTCAGCGGCCGGGGGCGCGGCGCCGCGGGCCGAAAGCGGAGACGAAGCGGCAGGAGTAGGAAGCCAAGACTGCCCACACCAGGTTTGGGGCGACGCGCAACACATGGACGAGGGCAGCGGCTTTACCCTTCATTCCGGCTTCCGCAGTGCTCTTGGTCGCGAAATTGGGGTTTCCGATAGCGCTATGCGAAAGGCCAGGGCTTTCCTGGATAGTGTGGACTTAGATCTGGCCGCTCATGACAAGCCTTCCCCCGGTAGTGGGCATCTTGTGACGTCATCTGGTGATTCCGCTGCGCGTCGGACTGGAAGTGGTCAAGTCACTGCACTGTCTGACCCACCGGTGCGTCCATTTAAACGTCCACGTATTGACGGTGACCGAGAAGAGGTGGACACCTGCAGGCATGACACTGCCAGGACCTCTGCGATGGGGAGGTGTCCAGCTGTGGAGCCGCTTCCTGCCGCGTTTCAGACCTCCAGCGGAAAAGCTGTGTCCGTCTCTAGTTCCGCGCTCCATGAAGCGAAAGTACTGCTCTCTGAAATAGCGGACGCCACTGACCCCCACGCCCCGCTCACGACGGTTCGAAGGAAAACGATCCAGGAGGACAGACAAGGGACAATTAAGAGCGTCGGCGATGTTAAAGCTAGTTCCTCGAAACAAGTTTGCGTGATGAACACTCCGGATTCTTGGTCTACTAGCGTATCTCAAGCTGGACCCCCTCGCACAGCCGTGGAAAAGGCCGATGTAGCTGCCACCCCCGGGGTAATCAAGCCAGGCCTCTTGGCATCAGCCCAGGAGTTGAACACCACCGTGGCGACGTGGAGGACTACCCATGCCGAGAAGATCGACGCTTCCTGTTCGAGCGAATCATCGGGACTAGACTTCGCTGTGGACATTGCGCGTTCCGTGAGAGCAGGTTCGGACGAGATCACCGATTTGTCCGCTGAGGCGTGCGCTTCAGCGCCAAGTTTCCGGACCGGAGAGGAAGAGCCAGCTGTTGGTGTTCAGACAGCTAGCGGCAAACGATTGGGCGTACCCGAGGCCGCGCCGAAGCGGGCCAGGCAGCTTCTTCGAGACGCCGCGGAATATGAAGGAGACGTTAATGGCGCTCCTGTGCACGGAGCCATCCAGTCAGACAGATGGAGCGACTCCGGGCCGCCCCCACGTCTCGATGAGCCAGCGTTGAGCCCGTCTGACCTTGGCGCCCGCGCGGCACCGACGCCTGGCTTTCAGACGGCTAGTGGAAAAAGAGTCTCCGTGTCTGTCCCGTCCCTTGCCAGAGCTCGAGCACTGTTCGAAGACGTCGAACACGTGTCCACCGTCGAACTGGAGGACGCCCCAAGCGCCGGCGGCACCGTCACGCCCGTGTCGATTTATGGGGAGAGGCTTCCCCGTGAAGTGACGTCAGCCGCACGGCCCCCTCTGTCGGGGCGCCACCGTGGGGAGGCAGCGGCGAACGCTGAGGACAGTGTCTCGCTCGCCAGGACCGGGACGGACTCGCTGGCATATCCGCTATCGGTGGTCGCAGGAGGAACTGTCGGCCCCGAGAGATCGGCTGGGAGTGAGCACTGGAACGCGCTGGGACGCCGACGAGGCTTCGTCACAGCTTCTGGGAAGCCCGTGGAGGTATCAGAGGAGGCGTTTACGAGTGCGAAGGCTTTGTTGGACAGTGTGGATGCGCCTGACACCACAGTGCAGGGAAAGCGAGGACGGAAAACACGCCCACAGGGAGAAGAAATTACGCCAGGAGATCAACCGGCTTGCCCGGCTACCGAAGCAGGCTTTACCGCGGCGGCTGGGCGAGCCGTTGTGTCAGACGCCGCTCTGAAAAAGGTCCAGTCTCTGCCGGAATGCGACACCACATTGGCGGCGGCGCAGTGCCCAGACCCGGGACAGGATGGACTCGACAGCTTCAGCACGGCGGCTGGTCAGGCTCCGGTAGTTTCAGAGGCTGCTCACGGTCAGGACATCACTCGAATGGACAGCGCGGAAGTGCAGCAGACGGAAAGCCGTCCCTCGGTGCCGCAGCGAAGTAGGGAATCACCTGCGGGCTTCGTCACAGCGAGCGGTCGGCCGGTGATGATGTCGGAGACCGCGCTCCAGAAGGCGAGAGCCATGCTGGGGAGCGAGGGCTCCGGCTGGGCAGTGTGGTGCCCCGAGGTGTCCGAGCTTGACTGGGGGCCGCCGGCTGACTCTGCTGCAGCGGCTGGTCGTGACGGGGGGCCGCCGGCTGACTCTGCTGCAGCGGCTAGCCGTGACAGGCAGCCGGCTGACTCTGCTGCAGCGGCTGGTCGTGACGGGGGGCCGCCGGCTGACTCTGCTGCAGCGGCTAGCCGTGACAGGCAGCCGGCTGACTCTGCTGCAGCGGCTGGTCGTGACGGGGGGCCGCCGGCTGACTCTGCTGCAGCGGCTGGTCGTAACGGGGGGCCGCCGGCTGACTCTGCTGCAGCGGCTAGCCGTGACGGGGGGCCGCCGGCTGACTCTGCTGCAGCGGCTGGTCGTAACGGGGGGCCGCCGGCTGACTCTGCTGCAGCGGCTAGCCGTGACGGGGGGCCGCCGGCTGACTCTGCTGCAGCGGCTGGTCGTAACGGGGGGCCGCCGGCTGACTCTGCTGCAGCGGCTAGCCGTGACAGGCAGCCGGCTGACTCTGCTGCAGCGGCTGGCCGAGCTGCGTCAGCGGTGAGAGCTGCTCTGGAGGCGGCCAAGACGGCACGTGACGACACCTGTGAAGACCACCCGAACTCGGGAGGTGCCTCAATCGTGGAGAGGAGCGGGCCTTGTGGTTTTACCACCGCGTCTGGTCGATCCATCGCGATTTCGGAGGCTGCTTTCAACAAGGCCAGGGCCTTTTTGGACGGTCACGAAGACAGACAGAAGCCAGACGATTGCCTGGAAGTGGAGCAGGACAAGTGTCGTGGTTTTAGCACCGCATCTGGCCGATCCGTGGCGGTTTTGGAGGCTGCTGCAGGAAAAGCCGAAGCTTCGCTGGATGATGCCGATGAAGACAGACACAAACCAGACGGCGGCCTGATAGTGGGTCAGAGCAAGTCGTGCGGTTTCAGAACGGCGGCTGGTCGATCGGTGTTAGTGTCAGATGCCGCTCTGAAAAAGGCCAAGGCCTTGCTGGACGAAACCTGTGAAGGCAACCTGAAACTGAACAATGGTTTAGGAGCTGGGAAAAGCGAGCCTTTTGGTTTTAGCACGGCATCTGGCCGAGCTGTGACGGTGTCAGATGCCGCCCTCATGAAGGCAAGAGATTTGCTAGAGATCGGAGACCTCTCTCGTTCGGAAGTCTCCTCTGATGTATCGCTGCAGGGAAGGGGACTGCCTGCCTGCTTCGTTACCGGGGCTGGTCAGGCAGTGGCGGTGTCGGAGACCGCGCTCAGAGAGGCCAGGGCTATGCTCGATGGCGTTAACGAAGACGAACGAAAGCCGGATTGTGGTGGCTTAGAAGTGGGTAATAGCGGGTCCCGCGGCTTCAGCACGGCATCTGGCCGGCCTGTGTCGGTGTCGGATGCCGCTGTCAAGAAGGCGGGGGCACTCCTGAGCAGTGCAACTGAAAACAAAGCCAGGCTGCAGGAGGGCTTGGAGACCAGGCAGAGCAGGTTTTGTGGTTTCAGCACCGCATCTGGTCGATCCGTGAAGGTTTCGGACGTTGCTCTGAGGAAGGCCAGGGCTTTACTGGACGATGCCTGTGACGACAAACAGAGTCCAGATGACTGCGTGGACGCATGGAAGAGCAAGCCATGCGGTTTTAGCACGGCGTCTGGTCGAGCTGTAAGCGTGTCAGAGGCTGCTCTCAAGGAGGTAAAGCTCGTGTTAGACGGCGAGACCAGTGACGCGTCTGAAGAAACGAAGGCAAGCGCCGGACAAACACCGAACACCGTTGCATCTTCAGGAGCAGGCTTGGAAGCCCGCTGTCAACAGACCGAGACCGATGCGAGCACGAAGCTCTCTGCTCAGCAGGACACGCCATATGGTCGTGCTCTGGTGGCGGGCGGCCCGCGGCGACTCCGCCTGACCAGTGAGCCCGACCCCAGGTCACCCAGCGCTGGCGTCGCGGGGTCATCAGTGCGCCCACCCACCACTACCGGCGCCGAGCCCCCGTCTGGGTGGCGCGAAGAGTGCGCGCCGGCGGGGAGGGCGACAGCCGCCCGGGCCGAGCCGCCGCCGGCCACCGACTGGGAAGGCCTGACGCAGTGCGTCGACGACCGGTTCGAGTTCACGCAGGTGGTGGCGGCGCGCGGCCGGCGTGAGGAGGAGCGCTCGGCCAGCCCGGTGCTGGGCACGGCGCCGAGGCTCCGCTCAGCGCGCCGCCGCTCGCGCCGCTCCACCGGCGAGCCCGCCCTCTGCACCCCACTCCGGTGCCGCTCGACGTCGGCGGCCGCCGCCGCGCCTGGCTCTCCGCCGCAGGCATCGGCGCGGGGCGCGGCGAGTAGCGGCGAGCGGCCGGCGGCGGCCGACGTGAACACCGCGCCGCCGCCGCCGCCACCGCTGCAGAACGGACGTGCTGAGGCTCGGGCGGCGGCGAGGCTGGCGCAGACGGCGCAGACGGCGCGGCGAACGCGGCGCGCCCAGCGCACTGTTGGCTCGGTGCTGACGGCGAGAAAGGGGGCTGCCGAGCGCGTCTCCCTCCGTCGCGGGCTCGGGGCTCTGCCAGCCGCCCTCACCAGGGACCAGGTCAGTGGGCGCCATCTCACGGACAGGGTCGCGTACTAAGACGCCGTGAGCTGCTTTCGCTTCTGCCACTTGGGTCTGCCACCGCCCGGCGCCATTCATTCGTTTGGCGTTTGTTGGCAGCAGCGCGTCTGGCGATTTCATAGAACCGTTCCTGACCCAGGTGGTGTTCATTCGACGCAATTCTGCAGGCACGTGTATTCTTTTTGGTTTGGTATTTGGCACGGCTGACCCAGATAGTGTTCATTAGACGCAATGCTGTAGGCACGTGTATTCTTGTTGGTTTTGGTATTTGGCACGGCTGACCCAGATAGGGGTCATTGGACGCAATTCTGTAGGCATGTGTATTCTTGTTGGTTTGGTATTGGGCGCGGATGATAATCCGAAAACACCATTCTCAGGTCCGTCGCCTTGTTGTGACCGACGTTGGCATGCGTTCTGGCGAACGTGTTTATCAAGCAGTGTGCGTGCATGCGTGCGTGAGTGCGTGCGTGCCTGCTGCGTTGTGTTTTGAGCCCGTCGGCGGCACGGCATTGCCGCCCTGTCACCGCTGTGTCGCCCACCGCAGGTGCTGTCGCTGGGAGTGCCAGCCGCCGTGCTGGACGTCTCATTCAGCTCGGCGGCCGAGTACCGGTTCAGCTGCGCCGAGACCACCCTGTGAGTGCGCTAGGCTGCCGTGGCCTGCCGACTCCGTCGGCCGCTCGGACACAGCGACGCCGCACGGCTGTTACCCGTGGGAACGCCACGCTGTCCAAGTAGCACGCCCGCCGTCATGTGTGCCGGGGCTGGTAGCTCAGTAGCTGTCGTTGCACGCGGAGCTTTCAGACTGATGTAGTTGTGACGATATGTCAAATGATCTACTTTTGGAAGCTTTGTAAAATAACGTTTCATTTATAGTTTTGGCGTTTCGGGCTTTGAGTTCAGCAACAGTGTATTAATGGAAAGTAGCTGAAAGCTTGTGTCTCTTAAGTGTTTCATTTTTTACGCCTGCCGAATGATTGCCCACTACCGTACGCCGTCATCTGGAATATCACTGATATCACGCAGCAGGTAACCTTGTAAATCGGGGGCTGGTTCGAGTGCCACGAAGCCTGTGTATCGAGCACCAGCTCCCTTGTACCCGCCAGGCAGGTGGACGGGTTTGTCGTCATCCCGGCGGATGACGACACGGTGGGCGTGGCCGAGGTACGGGCGGCGCTGTTGGCGTCGCCGCACGTCCAGCCGGACCTGGTGCCGCAGCGCTGGGTGGACAACGCCTACCGTCACCTGGTCTGGAAGCTGGCCGGTTATGAGCGACGTTTTCCGGCGTGGGCCGGCGGAGGGTGCGTGGATAGCGGAGGGGGCGCCGGGCCCGCCCAGGCCGGCGGGGGGGGGGGGGGGGTGCGTGGATAGCGGAGGGGGCGCCGGGCCCGCCCAGGCCGGCGGAGGGTGCGTGGATAGCGGAGGGGGCACCGGGCCCGCCCAGGTCGGCGGAGGGTGCGTGGATAGCGGAGGGGGCGCCGGGCCCGCCCAGGCCGGCGGAGGGTGCGTGGATAGCGGAGGGGGCGCCGGGCCCGCCCAGGCCGGCGGAGGGTGCGTGGGTAGCGGAGGGGGCGCCGCCCCCCCCCCCCACCCCCAGGTCGGCGGGGGGTGCATGGCAAGCGGAGGGGGCGCCGGGCCCGCCCAGGCTGCCGGAGGGTGCGTGGATAGCGGAGGAGGCGCCGGGCCCGCCCAAGCTGCCGGAGGGGGACTGGCTCACTGACAGCGCCAGGCATGGGTGCTCGGTGCTTGGCGTCGGCTCGGCAGTGCGGACGTTCGCCGCAGGGGGTGCTCCGTTTTATGCGGCATATCGGTGGTATTTGAGGTACAAGGCGGCCTGTCCCAACGTGGATTTGGCGCTGTCTAACGTGCTTCAGCCGATATTGGTACCTCGCATATTCCGTTAGGTGGGGAGGGGGGGGGGGGGGGGGGATCGGGGATGTGTGCCGTGTGACCGATGACCGCATTAGGCGTGGAACTGGTTGGTAAATGCAGATGGCGGATGTTGGCGGCACGCCCACATTATATAACCGCGGCAAAAACTCAGCCGCGAAGCAGCCGCTGTTGGCCTTTATTGCCCCGGCAGCAACCTTTGCCCGTTTGCTCATGTACTTGTTGTGTTACGACACGTGTCTCGGCATCTGTCTCTGCTGATAGTCTGTAGCGGTGTAGTGATTTACCACGTCTGTGTGGCCAAGCTGCTCAGGTATCGTGACGCTTCGTTGCCCGATTAGTGTGGTGCATGCAACGACACCTCGCTACCGCACCCTGTCCCTGTACACGCGGGCGTGGCGTGTTGTCGTCAGTGACCCCGACCGTGACCCCCGACCGTGACCCCCGACCGTCACCCCGACCGTCATTCCGACCGTCAACCTTGTTACTCCTGACCGTGACCCCGACCGTCACCCCCCGACCGTCACCCCCTGACCGTCACCCCCGACCGTCACCCCGACCGTCACCCCCGACCGTCACCCCCGACCGTAACCCCCGACCGTCACCCCCGACTGTCACCCTTGGTACCCCCAACCGTCACCCCCCACCCCCGACCGTCACCCCTGTTGCCCCTGACCGTCACCCCCGACCGTCACCTCCGACCGTCACCCCCGACCGTCACCCCCGACCGTCACCCCGGACCGTGACCCTCCCCCTGGACCGTGTGCACAGCTGCCTGACGGCGGAGCAGCTGGTGCGGCAGCTGCGCTACCGCTACGACCGCGAGCTGGACGGCTGCCAGCGGCCGGCGTTGCGCAGGATCACCGAGGCGGACGACTCGGCCGCCAAGACGCTCGTGCTGTGCCTGGCCGAGGTCACCACGGTGGGTGTGGATTCAGTTGAGAGGCGTGAGCTCGCGCGAGGGCTGCGGACTGCCCGACATCTCAGCCGTGCCCGGCCTGATGTTTTGGGCAGGTGACCACTGGTTTTCCGCGCTGTGTGATCGTTCTCACGGAAATCAGCTGCTGTTTGTTTTGTACGAGATCAGCTGCTGTTTGTTTTGTTCTGTGGCTGGAATTGCCTGAGCGGGTGTCGATGACAATGCTGTCTGTTTTTGTATGCGTTTGAAGTGGGATACCGCCTTTTTCATGTTTCATTAATTCGTATGTGTTCATGCTGGCTTTTTCGTTCTTCAACCAAAGAGTCAGCATTTGGAACTTCTCAGTTTTCATGTGGAAAAAGCTTTTTTTCGTTGCTCACTGATGCATCTATTTGGCCAATTGCGCCTCCATTTGCTCCCCGCTTTCCGGAGTCGGTGTCTGTGGTGGTGACGGACGGCTGGAACAGTGTGTGAACCCGTCCCTGGTGGTGACGGACGGCTGGAACAGTGTGTGAACCCGTCCCTGAGTCGGCGTCCCTGTGTGTGACCCCGTCCCTGGTGCGGTAGAGCCCTGAGTCGGTGTCCCTGGTGGTGACGGACGGCTGGTACAGTATGTGACCCCGTCCCTGGTGCGGTAGAGCCTGGAGTCGGTGTCCCCGGTGGTGACGGACGGCTGGTACAGTATGTGACGTGGTCACCGATGTGGCAGAGCCCTGAGTCGGTGTCCCTGGTGGTGACGGACGGCTGGTACAGTATGTGACCCCGTCCCTGGTGGTGACGGACGGCTGGTACAGTATGTGACGTGGTCACCGATGTGGCAGAGCCCTGAGTCGGTGTCCCTGGTGGTGACGGACGGCTGGTACAGTATGTGACCCCGTCCCTGGTGGTGACGGACGGCTGGTACAGTATGTGACGTGGTCACCGATGTGGCAGAGCCCTGAGTCGGTGTCCCTGGTGGTGACGGACGGCTGGTACAGTATGTGACCCCGTCCCTGGTGGTGACGGACGGCTGGTACAGTATGTGACGTGGTCACCGATGTGGCAGAGCCCTGAGTCGGTGTCCCTGGTGGTGACGGACGGCTGGTACAGTATGTGACCCCGTCCCTGGTGGTGACGGACGGCTGGTACAGTAATGTGACGTGGTCACCGATGTGGCAGAGCCCTGAGTCGGTGTCCCTGGTGGTGACGGACGGCTGTACAGTATGTGGACCCCGTCCCTGGTGGGTGACGGACGGCTGGTACAGTATGTGACGTGGTCACCGATGTGGCAGAGCCCTGAGTCGGTGTCCCTGGTGGTGACGGACGGCTGTACAGTATGTGACCCCGTCCCTGGTGGTGACGGACGGCTGGTACAGTATGTGACGTGGTCACCGATGTGGCAGAGCCCTGAGTCGGTGTCCCTGGTGGTGACGGACGGCTGGTACAGTGTGCGCGCCCAGCCTGACGCCGCCCTGCAGCGGCTGGCGCGGCTCGGCCTCGTCCGGCCGGGTATGAAGCTGGCTGTCCACGGCGCTGAGCTGGTCGGCCAGCAGCGGGCCTGCTCACCGCTCGAGGTGAGCTCACCATCAGCCGGGGGACCAGGCACGCCGGCCTCTGGCATGGTCTCTGGCACACATGGATGCGAGAGCTGTGGTCCATGACTGTTGAGGCTCAGTCCATGCTTTTACAACTGATAGATTGCTAGCCATCGGCGTAGGGGCATGACAATTATCGTGCTTTTCATCATTAAAGCGCGATGAAGAAGGTGGCGCAGTTCATTAATGGCGACTACTATGCTTGCACGGATCCGTTTTGGGATGAAGTAAATTACACGTCTTCAATTTCATGAAACTGAGTAACTTGGACATGACATAATGTAGACAAACGCGCTAACCCAGTATCCCAGTAGCCCCATTTAGTATCGAGATCATGTCTTTTATCGATTCGAAACCGATCAACATGTTCAGTGTGTTCCAGATGTTTTGTTGGGTTTTGTTTTTGCGTCAGTCTGTTTCCCTGTATACCAGGGTAACAGGACAGGTTCCTTTGTTATCAATTTACCCTGAAAAAGTACTATACAGGGATCCCCTAGCTATTTATACACTAAGTTGTTAAGGGCATTTGCGAGGAACATTATGCACATAGAAAAGACAATAGTAATAGCCTTGTGGCTCGTAGAAAAATAAACAGGAGAATGGAGGTACAGATGCATTGATATTTCGGCAACATGCCTTCATCTAAAGGAATAGCAGAAGACTTCTGCCATCCACAGACTTCTGCTCCTGGTTTCTGCTCCTGGTTGCTCTTATAGGCTTTTGTTCTCGGTTTTCTACGAGGAATAAGGCTATTACTACTGTCGTATCTTTATGCACTAGCGTTAGGTGTATGCATGCCATTAAGCACAGCTGGTTCCGTTTTCAGGCCAGTGCGGAGCTATGTCTGCGCTTCTCCACGAACTCGTGCCGTCGCGCACGCTGGGACGCCCGGCTCGGTTACCATAGCAACCCGGTGCCGTTTGCCAGCTGTCTGCGTGCCGTGCTGCCAGACGGCGGCTCCGTTGCCAGACTGGATGTGGCCATTGCTCGGGTGTATCCGCTGCTCTACTTCGACAAAGAGGAGGGCAAAACGGGTGAGGCAGACGCGTCGTGCGCCGGTAAACGGATGATCGGGCCCGTTTAGGCACAGTTTTGACATACCTTTTGGGAGTTGTCTTTTGAAGTATGTCTTGCTGAAGAGGATGGAGGCTTCGTCATGTGCGGGGTGAATCCTCGTGTGGCCTTCCTTGACAATGCGGGAGTCATCTGTCGCGTTCCGGGTGTAGGCATTGAGGGGAAGGTACAAGCTGGGGAGGCACGACCTTCCCCGACAGTGCCGTCTCCCATCTCGACGGTGTTCCGGGGAGGAAGTGGCGAGGGGGTCGTTGAGCCCGACCTCTGACAGAGCCGCCTCCTCTCCGACAGTGTTCCGGGCGGCGCGGCTCGAGCGGCGACGCGCGGCCGGCGCCGAGGCGCGCCGCCAGGCTCGGCTGGAGCGGCTGTACGCCGAAGTGGAGCGCGACCTGGGCGCAGCCGGCGCTGGCGACGACGCCGGTCCGAAGCGGGCGCGGCGCACCTTCAGCCGCGCCATGGTGGGCCAGCTCACCAGCGGTCAGGAGATCTACCAGTGCATCAGCGCCGCCGCCGACCCTGGCAGCGTCGAGGTGACTGCTGGGGTCGGCAGGCCCATGATACGGCGGCAGCTGGTGGCAGGCGGCACCAGTTGGGCCATCCCACTGGCGGGGGGGGGGGGGGGGGGGGGCTGCCAGCTTACGGACCTGTACTTGCCGTTGGTGTCAGGAACTGGTTGGGCAATGTTACCTGCACAACACTAAATTGTCATGATAAACTGCAATCTACAGCCCGCTCTTTGAAGAGACGTGTATCGTGCATGATATTGCGGTGTGTGTCATTAGGTTTCGACGTCGGTGGTCTTTTTCGCTCAGCTCTTCGTTACGCGTTGTAGTCTGCCTGTTAATATTCGGTGAAGCTCGGACACAAATCCCCGCCACGCCGTGCGTGTCTTGCCACCCTCCGCTGGACTGACGCCATCGCGTCGCCGCCAGTCATTGCTGACGGACCATCAGAAACTGCTGGCGGCCGAGCACCAGCGCCAGCGCCGGGACGAGCAGCGCCAGAGGGTGGAGGCCGAATTCCGCGCGAGGCTGGCGCAGCAACCCGACGATCGGCCGGCCGCTCCGCTGCTCAAGGTGAGGCGTCACACGCGCCGACGGCGCCGCGGCGCAGCCAGCTCGTCTGGAACGACGGCGTGACTGTGACGTGGCGGTGTGTGTGATGTGAGCTGGGTGACGTGGTACGTGAGCTGAGTGACGTAAGACGTGCGCTGGGTGACGGGAGACGCGGGGTGAGTGACGTGAAATGTGAGCTGGGTGACGTGAGACGTGCGCTGGGTGACGGGAGACGCGGGGTGAGTGACGTGAAATGTGAGCTGGGTGACGTGAGACGTGCGCTGGGTGACGGGAGACGCGGGGTGAGTGACGTGAAATGTGAGCTGGGTGACGTGAGACGTGGGCTGGGTGACGGGAGACGCGGGGTGAGTGACGTGAAATGTGAGCTGGGTGACGTAAGACGTGCGCTGGGTGACGGGAGACGCGGGGTGAGTGACGTGAAATGTGAGCTGGGTGACGTGAGACGTGCGCTGGGTGACGGGAGACGCGGGGTGAGTGACGTGAAATGTGAGCTGGGTGACGTGAGACGTGGGCTGGGTGACGGGAGACGCGGGGTGAGTGACGTGAAATGTGAGCTGGGTGACGTGAGACGTGGGCTGGGTGACGGGAGACGCGGGGTGAGTGACGTGAAATGTGAGCTGGGTGACGTAAGACGTGCGCTGGGTGACGGGAGACGCGGGGTGAGTGACGTGAAATGTGAGCTGGGTGACGTGAGACGTGGGCTGGGTGACGGGAGACGCGGGGTGAGTGACGTGAAATGTGAGCTGGGTGACGTGAGACGTGGGCTGGGTGACGGGAGACGCGGGGTGAGTGACGTGAAATGTGAGCTGGGTGACGTGAGACGTGGGCTGGGTGACGGGAGACGCGGGGTGAGTGACGTGAAATGTGAGCTGGGTGACGTGAGATGTGGGCTGGGTGACGGGAGACGCGGGGTGAGTGACGTGAAATGTGAGCTGGGTGACGTGAGACGTGGGCTGGGTGACGGGAGACGCGGGGTGAGTGACGTGAAATGTGAGCTGGGTGACGTAAGACGTGCGCTGGGTGACGGGAGACGCGGGGTGAGTGACGTGAAATGTGAGCTGGGTGACGTGAGACGTGGGCTGGGTGACGGGAGACGCGGGGTGAGTGACGTGAAATGTGAGCTGGGTGACGTGAGACGTGGGCTGGGTGACGGGAGACGCGGGGTGAGTGACGTGAAATGTGAGCTGGGTGACGTGAGACGTGGGCTGGGTGACGGGAGACGCGGGGTGAGTGACGTGAAATGTGAGCTGGGTGACGTGACACGTGGGCTGGGTGACGGGAGACGCGGGGTGAGTGACGTGAAATGTGAGCTGGGTGACGTGAGACGTGCGCTGGGTGACGGGAGACGCGGGGTGAGTGACGTGAAATGTGAGACGTGGGCTGCGTGACGTGAGGCTCGGACTAAGAGGCCAAAAGGACGTAGCTGGAGGTGTGACACATGGCGGACTACGTGAATGCTCAAAGGACGTTATTTATGATTTATGTCGGCGCGTTTTCTTGGGTTCTTCAACCGTGAGAGCTCTGGTCCGCTAAAGGCACATTTATTTACAGGCTGATTAGTTAAAGTCTAACCTTTATCTTATCGATATTCCGTTTGGACACACAAGCACGCTTGGGCGCCCGCGATCCAGGTCGATGCCACGACCGTCTCGGCCGGCGTCGTCGTACCGTGTTCTGCCCTGCCCTGAGGTGACCTCCGTCCTCGGCTCCGCCAGATCCGTGTGGCCGGCATGGACGGCGAGCCGGCGAGTGGCGCCATCTTCACCCTGTGGCGGCCGACGGAGGAGCTGCGCGCCTTCCTGTCCGAGGGCCGCGCCGTCTCACTGTGCGGCGTCACCGCCGCTGGCAAACGGTGGGTGGGCTGAGCAGGTGAAGGGCGTTCAGTTCGAGACGCACAACTGACTGCGGCTCGTTTTCCCCGCTAGACTCGGCCGCATCGTCCCCGCCGCAGCAGTGGCTAGCTACGGACGTCGGGAAGTAAACGAAGGGTCACAGTGGCAGTGCCCACTGCTGAACTAGTCGTGTTGGTTAATGTTGACGGACCCTGGCGGCATTTTTACGCGTTGGAATGGTGGGTCCATTGATAGGAAGCCTTGTCGTCAATCAGCCTGTGTCAGCTAGCAGTGACGTTTGTATTATCTGTCGTGGATTCGCAACTCGCGCTATCCTGCCTGCATCCCTGCTAGCTCGCAGAATCTGAAGCATTGTCGCCTGTCCCTCACCAGCCACTGTCAAAAACTGTTTAGGGTCTCCGTAATGCCCAGTCAATGACAGCCATGCACCATCTACCATCTTTGCTTAGTTGTCAGTTGACCGATTTAACGCCTTTCGCTTGGGTAGCCCCCTCCGCAAGTCTCAAAAATGAAGAGAGCTAGAGACACCACATTCACATTATGGGGTGGCCTATGTGAACTCACTTGTGCCAGATTTGAGGTCCATAGTCATGACGTTCAGGTCAAGTGAGGTCAAACAGTGTAAAACTCAAAATTGTTGTCTAGAGTCACCCATACCTCCTCATGCAATTGCCGTAGACCTAGATACCTATGTCATAAAAGTCACTGGTGTTCATCGAAGGTAAACGACCTTGTTTGAACTTAATGTCAAAGTGACCAGAATGCTGCAAGGTTTTCACTTTTGCACGTGAATAAGCATCAGGTTTACGCTAGGTGATGCGTTCCTAAAAACAAAATATTGACCAGGGTCATTGAGGTTGGTGACCTCTCTTGAAATATGGATAAAAACTACCCCATGAAGTTTATAGCAAAATTTATAGCAAAAAGTAGGCTTTTTATCTCCGGCTATTATGCATATCTGTCCTAAGGTTAACGGATTTTACAAAAAATCAAATTTAATAACTTCATTGCTGAGAAACTATCTACTTACTTACCTACTATGGAACTATCTCAGATATGTATGCCTTCGTTTAGCACTCCGTTATCTTATCAGATTGGACAATTCCCTAGAAATTGCCTTCGCTGATGGCCACTGCCTGACTTTGACCTGCCACAGGCCAGCGACCTTGCAAAGTACATCTGATTTTGCATAGCAAAATAATTGCTCTTCAGTCGCCCACAGCTGTACAAAGTTTAGTGCGGCCACGTCGCGCCTTTCGGAAATGGTGCCGCACAATGCTTTAGGGAGGGGGTCAAATTAACCCCACACTCAAGCGCGTTTCAGCTTCTGGTGTAGATAAGCCCGTTTTTATGGTATTATTGTCCCACGCTGTACTATCCATTCATCCTTGTCTCGCGAAATTGCCAAAACTGACCAAACTTTCATCTCACTGCCGCGCGAAGTTATCGCCCCACCCGCCACCTACCGGCGACTGCTGAAATTACACCTTCACCTGCGTCCGGCAGGGGCGGCGTGCTGCAGCTGAGCGCTGGTCCGCAGTGGCGGCTGCAGCCGTGCGCGGCCGCGCTGGAACTGCCGGCGCGTCAGCTGTCGTCGTCGCCGTGCGCCGACCGGCCGCCGTACGGCGAGCTGGACGCGGCGGCGCTGGTGGTGCGCGTCTCCGAGCCAGGCCCCGGCGGCCGCCAGACGGCGCACCTGGCCGACCGGACCGGCCGCTTGCTGGCCGCCACCTGCTGGACGGGCCTGCAGGTGAGCGGCCTGACCATGGCCAGGAGCGGCTGGCGTGCTCCGGGTGGAGCGGGCCGATCGGGCGGGGTGGCTGCAGAGGTGCTTTGTTGCGTGCTGCTTGGTGTGGTATGGTCGTGGTAGAGATGAGTTACGTGAGAGTTTTCAGTTGCCCGGTCAAGTAGGTATTGTGATTTATCGTGGTCAAATTACAGTCGTTGGCCTAAAATGCAGTGTTGATCTTTGGGGTGGGTCATTTAGTCCGTTCTTGACGAGGTCTCTTGCCTGATGATGCTATCATCGTGTCCTTAGGCGACATGGATGGAGTCTGTCCCAGTTTGATGCGCTATCATGCGCCATTTCTATGACCAAAACAGCCTCGATGAGACCTCTGAATCCGTCAGGTTGCCGTCCTCTCGCCAAGCTGCCGTTCAGAATCACGTCCAACGTGTCCACCCCAACGAACAGGAAGCAGCGGCGCGGCATGTGGACCGTCGCCGTGCACATCAGCGCTCGGCTCGGCCTGGCTGGGCTCGTGACCTGCTGACCTGCTGACCTGCTGACTGGTGCTGACCTGTGCGCAGTCGCTGGGCCTGGACGATCTGGTGGTGACGGGCGCCCTGCTGTCGCTGGCGAACCTGCAGCTGGCGTCGGTCACCGGCCGGCTGTCGCTCTGCACGATCACGGAGCGGTCCGAGGTCTGTCGCCGGCCAACGGCCCGACATCTGGCGGAAGAACTCGAACTGCTGACTGCCACCGTCACGGTAAGATGTCGCCAGCAGATTCAGGCGCACGCAAGGCACATACTTACGACGCAAAAGTGATTTAAAGCATGTGATTGGTCTAGTGTATTACCTGAATGGTATGCTATTGGCATAGTGTGTTACCTGAATGGCATATGACACAGTTCTTTAATGAAATGTAACACCACACGGGGAATGCAACTATTTATGTTTTTAACGAAATCCCAAGTGATTCACAGTTTACTGTAGAAACTGGGGTTGGCGATTTACTTGGGCCACGTATTAATACGTTGCTTGTTCCCGCGAGGAGAGGATAAACACTAAGCAAAACGCGAAAATTTGTAAGATGGTTAAAGGCAGACGCAAACGAGGCCACTTGAACTCCGACACCTGTGTCTACATCTATGTATAATGTACAGAAATATAATATATACGTGTATGTACGCGCTAATGCGTTTTGTCGAGGTGAAAATACCGGGGCATTTTACTCGTTCTTTGCTTTCGCAACTAGAATTAAGAGAGCATAACTTGACCAAATGCATCCTTACAGGCATTCCTGCAAATGGGCTATCTGGCTTTAATACAAATATAAAACCATCCTTTCAACTTACATCCTGCCCGTTAACGTTGGAGACACGCTCGATGTCGTTGGGATTTCCATGACGGTAGCCCACGGATTTCCGGATTTTCGATCGGATTTCGGTCCGAACCGTCTCTTAACAATCGCTGCGCCGTGTTTTGTTACCAATCCTTTGTCCTCTTTGTAGTATTAGGGAATTCCTGTCTTGAGTAGACAGGGGTTCCCTACTACTACAGGAAGAACTGGAAGGACCCCTGTAGAACCCTTGTACATTAGGAGCCCCGAACCCTGTCTCTTCCAAGCATGATGACGGCTTGGCTTATTCTGCACCACACCATCCTTAACCAAAGCCATCAGTTGCGGAGACGAAGCACTCCCTGTCACTCTGGATGCCATCGATGTAGTGTGTGTCTAAAATGTACGGCGCAAAGGTGTCACGTCGCCTGGGTGACTGCTTGAGATTCTGCCAGCGTGCGGTGGTCCATGGTGCCTAGATCGTACGTCCCCATTCGATACTTTTGGTTGGTGTGACAGCCGACACTTGGAAGTCACTTTGCACCGACGCGATAGCATTTTGACAATTTTATATGTAAGGTTGCTTAATTAGTGACTATAGGGAAAGGTCTTATCATAACAGCATCTGTTTCCTGTTATTTTATTCGGCTTTTTCGTTCCTTTCGCTGCATTTCGACGTCGACCTCGTTCGCATTATCACTGAGTGTTGGCTTTTTTGGTGATTTTGGGTTTAGCTTAAACACGCGCTCTGGTAGGGGGTCAAATTGACCCCTCCGAAGTTTTTCCGGAATTGTTTCCGAACGGCGCGGCGTAGCCTCGCCGTTCGGAAACAAGCATAGCTGTAGACAATTGAATACTAGATTGTCCGGCATTTAGATGTACCTTGTGAGGTCATCGAGCTATGGCAGGTCAAATACAGGCCATGCTTTCAGCGAAGGCAATTTCTAGGGAATCGTTCAAGCTGATCCAACAACGGAGTGTTAGACGAGGCCGTACATCTCTGGGATACTTTTTTAGGCAACACAACAATTGAATTAACAAGTTACAGTGACCTAGGGTCAGGTGCAAAGGTCAGACCAAGGTAAAAGTCAACCTGTTTTATTTCTCTAAGGCTTGATGTATGGGGTAGTTTTTGGTGCTTATTTCGAATTTATTGATAACAGAAACCGCATTATACGCCTTCCACTTCTTAAAGGATCAAAATAGGTCACTAACCTAAAATGATCCAGGTCAATATTTTGATTTTAGAAATATGTTGCAAATCATTATCTTAGTCGCTTACTCAAATGCAAAACTTAAAACAATCTTGTATGATTTTGGTCACCATGACCTTCAGAGGTCATGTCTTTAAATGTCTTCAAAGGTCAAAGGTCTTAAATGGTCACCAGCCTTAAATGAGCACGTGAGCTTTTGCTCAGAACAGTAATCTAGATTCTCGGAGCCCTTTCAAAACCATCCTGAGATTTGACCTTGTTTGACCTTATTTGACCCGAAGGTCGTGATAGAAACCTCAAACTTTGACCTACGTGAGTTCACGTACAGGTCAACACACGATGTGAATTGGGTGTCGCTAGTTGCCTTAGTTTCTGTGATCTCAGTCGGGCCAAATTGGTCCCCACTGAAGTGAAAGGTGTCCAACCGGCCACCCGGGCGCGTGTTAAGATTGATCGGTTCTCTTTCCGCGAATTCGAGGAGATAATGCATGTAAGAAGACAAGTGGAATTTAACTAGCTGCAGAAAGCCTCATGAAATTGCCAACATGTTACGCACTGACCTCGTTTCCCTCGTTGACTCATAAACACGAAAATAACTGTAGACAACAGGATGAGTTGTTCTTTTGCACTAAATGCTTTAATGTCGTGCACGAAGCGCCATCATTCCTTTACTTTGTCTCAGCTGGACTCTGCATTTAATTTCAGCGGAGTCTTAAGTGTTTGCGAACGATCTCTGGGTCAGCAATCGCCAGAAGACTGGAAATCTTGGCCTCAGTGCAAGCCTCTCGTGATCCTTGAAGCGCTCGCTGTGGATGCTACACACCTGATCTTACTCGGTCGCTTCTCCGTCCCTCGCTCGGCCGCTTCCCGTCTCGGCTCCCAACACACGCTTCTGTTTACGCACTGTTTATTGTCCACGCATACTTTGTGGTTACATCGCAATGCCTCTTCCCTTAACTAATACTACCGATACATAATACCGGTGGGTGATGGATGCCCTTGGCGTGTTCGCATTCATGCGGGGGTCGGTGGTCCGTGTGAGGGGGGGGGGGGGGGTCAGAGCTAGTGAGAGCGGTAACCGCTGGAGGTGATGCTCCAGTTGTACGGCGTGGGCGGGCGCACGCAGCGCCGCGGGTCGACCAGCTGCGGCCGACACTGCTGCGAGCCGCCGTCGAGCGGCACCGTATAGGTCTTGAAGAACGGCTCGGCCTTGGTGAACTTGCAGCCCTGCGGCCCGATCATCTCGTCCTGGCGTTCGCCGTCGAAGTTACCGCACAGGCCGGTCAGCTTGCCGCGGTGAGCCAGGTGCGACGCCTGGATGAGGACGGCCTCCGTGGTCAGCTTGAGCTGCACCATGTGCTGGGGCAGGCTGACCTTGACGGTGCCGTCGGGCCGAACTGAGAGGCGCACCAGCGTCTCGTGGCTGTCGGAGAGCAGCACGAGCGGTCGCACCGTGCTGATCTGCTGCGGGCGGCCGTCCACCTTCAGCTGGATGCTGGAGCCGCGCGAGATCTCAATGTCCCTGGTGTTGACCAGGATGCGCACCGCCGGGTAGTTGTCGATCTTCTTGTGGAGGATGGCGATCTGCTGCGCGCCGCTCGCGTCCTTGGTGAGCAGGGACCAGCACTCGGTGGATGGCTTGCCGGGGATGGTCACGTTGTTGTACGTCTTCAGCTCCTGGGCATCAGCGATGCAAACCGACTTGTCGACGCCAAACAGCGAGTCGACCACCTTCGTGCCGAAGGACTTGCGCATGGTGACAAGGTATGGCTCGTAACGGATGTCGAAGGGCATCAGCACCTGCTCGAACTTGGTGGTCTCGAACGGCTTCATGATGTGGGCGGTGGCGGTGTTGATGCGCGGGTCGATTTGCACCTTCATCACGATCTTGTTCTGGGCGTTCGTCTTGTACGGGTCGTTGGTCATATACGGCCACCACATGTACTTGGCGAAGTAGTCCAGCGCGTACGACGCGTTGCGGAAGCCGGCCGGCAGCTGGAACAACAGATGCAGCTGGTCAGAGGCCGCGAAGAGTTTAGCGACGCTGGGTGACAGCGTTCAGCACTCCTGCGGCATGCTGATTCAAGACACACACACTCGCGTTTTATTTGTTCTTCACGCACACATGGCAGTTCCGAAACGGCGGCGGGAATAACACATGCAAACCACTCGTCAGAAGGGGCTTTATGTGAGGCTGGTGGTGTGATCGACGCTACCGGCCCCGGCCCCGGTCTCGCCCCGCCCCGACCCGCCCGAAACCCCGACCACTCACATTGTGCATGGTGAAGTCGAACTCCCAGTTGTTGGCGAGCGCGGCGTGGTCCTTGGCGATGCGGCAGTCGGCCGAGTTAGGATGGCCGCTGCGCTCGTGCTGCGTGCAGCGCTGCGCCTCGGAGCACTGCTGCGCGTACTGGCGCGCCACGCTGTCGCGCTGCACTCTGCCCGTCATGGTGACGGTGGACTCCTGGCAGCTGGAGCCGAAGCCCAGCTGTCCGGACAGCGGCATGCTGACCTCGCCGTTGAGCAGATCGCGGCGTGCCTCGCTCAACACCGGGAAGGCCAGGCTGGTGCTGAGGCACACCTTGTTGGAAGGAGTCTCACCGCGGAACTGCAGCTTCTGCGTGTACCAGTCGGCGTCCGAGGCCCACGAGAACATGCTCTTGTAGTGGAGCTGCCGGCCGCCGCGCTGCGTGATGGTGGACGTCATAGTGGCGCCCACCTGGGTCTCCTCGCCGCTCTGCTGCATCATCTGCATGACGTTGCGGATGGCTTCCGAGACCTTCTGCTGGTGCTGCTGGCTCTCGATGATCGGGTTGCGCATGGTGGTGATGGGGCCGCCGGGCGCAGACACCTGTGTCTGGTTCATGTACGTCCATGTGGCCTCGAACTTCTGTGACTCGGAGTTGGCGGTGTCCACGATCAGGTCGTAGTGGCGCGACCGCGTCGAGCTGGGCAGGTACCAGAAGTGGGGGTAGCTGTTGCGCTGCAGGAACTCGTTGTAGAACGTGCCGAAGCTGATCACGGGCGTCTCGGAGACCAGCCGCAGCGAGCCCTTGATGCCGAACGGCTTGCCGAAGGGCACTTCGAGCACGGTGTGCTTCCTGACGATGATCTCCTTCGTGTCGGGCGCCGTGGTGAGTTGCGTGTAGTCATTGACCTTGACAGCCGTGGTGAACGGCATGGTCTTGATGTGCGCCACCTTCACCGGCGACGGCTGGCTCAGCAGCGACGCCGACATCTGCAGCTGCGCGGCCTGCTGGTCCAGCTTGACCTGGAACGTGATGGGCAGCGACACCTGCACCTTGTTCTCCACGCCCGAGCCGAGCATTCGCAGAGTGAACGGACTCAGCGTGTACACCATCACCTGGCTCTTGGAGGCGACGAACGGCTGAGCGCGCTTCACGTGCGCCGTGTACGTGCCGTCCTGGTAGTTCCACTCCGCCTGCATATCGCCGCGCACGGACGACACCAGCGGCACCTTCTTCATGTAGATCACGGGCAGGCCGATCTCCGACGGGAACGTCACCGTCTTGTCCTCGAGGTAGGCTATCTTCTGCGCCTGCTTGGCGCTGTATGAGCCGCCGTTGCGCGCCTTCTGCAGCAGCTCCTGGTACTTGTTGGCGTCCACCGAGAAGAAGGTGTCCATGGTGCCCATCAGGCGCATGTACATGGTGTACTGGAAGTCTCCGGTGCTCTCTGGCTTTTTGATGTTCAGCTCGCGTTCAATGGTGCGGAGCGCCGGCGAACTCAGGCCGATGTCGCGCGGCGACTGGCGCGTTTTCGACCCGAACAGCAGACTGTCCACCACGCTCTGCACGTTGAGGAGGTTGATGGCGTACTTGCTGGAGCTGTAGACGACGCTGTTGATGTAGTTCTGGAACTCGCCGTAGAACACACTGGGCACGACCGAGTCCTGCGTGCTGATGAAGCTGGTGCGCGAGATGTAGGCCACCTGGTATTTGGAGATAAGGCGCGCTGCGAACCCGAAGCTGTTGCTGTAGCGGATGCCCTGCGGCGGCGGCCGGATGAGCGGCAGCGTGATGCGCGCGCGCCGGCTCATCTCGAACAGCGGGTACACCTGCGCCATGGTGTTGTTGGCGAAGCTGCTGTAGGCGCTGTGGATGAAGGCAACGACGGCGATGCGCGGCTCGAACCAGGTGCTGGTGGCCACCTTCTGCCAGTAGGCGATGGGCGGGTTGGAAGCGAGCACCGTGGTGACGGCCGCCAGCCGCACCTCAGTCGGCCGCGACAGATCGTTGAACACGGGCATCACCAGCTCGCGGATCGTCTCCGGGTACTTCTCGTTGACGTTGTACAGCGCGTAGATGGCCTTGCTGGCCGCCAGTGGGCTGTTGGCCACGGTGAAGAAGCTCTGCAGAACGGGAATGACTTCCTTGTGGCCGATGTTGCCCAGCGCCTGGATGTACGCAAGCTTCTCCGGCTCCTGGCGCTGGTGCGCCTGCTGCGTCAGGAAGGGGATCATCTGCTGGATCATCAGCGACTTCATGGCGTCAGAACAGAACGGTTTGCCGTACAGCCGGCTGGCGTAGCTGAAGTTGACGCTTACGTTGCGCACGCACACCTGGTGGAAGACATTGGCGAGCGACAGCGACAGCGTCATGCGCAGCGACTGCTTGGTCTGCACTCTGCTCGACGTGAGCAAGTGGAACACCTGGTTGATGAGCTCGACGGTCGGGGTCTTGATGTTCATCGGAAGTGTGGCGATGACGGTGGCGGCGCGCGCGTCGGTGATGAGCGACTGCTGCATGCTGTCCAGGAGCAGCGAGACGGCCGGGTTGGTGCCGACGGCGGCCAGCATGTCGTAGAAGGTGTCCTTCTGACCGGGCGTCTGCATGTGCTGCTGCACCTGCTTGAGCTGTTCGTAGCCCAGCCAGCTGAGGGCGTGCTCGATCTCGATGACGTAGCCGGCGACGTCCTGCGTGACCGGGTCGGGCACCTGGCTCAAGAAGTTGTCCACCTTCTGGATCAGCTGCACGGCGCGCTGCACGATTTCAGTGGGCGGCAGCTGCTTCAGCACCAGCTCGGCCGGCACGCCCGGCATCAGTGTGCTCATCTGCGGCGCCGACTTGAGGTCGGGCAGACGCAGCGGCTGCTCGTCGACGGTCGGGTAGCGGAACTGGAGCGACGAGTCGGACTTGGGCTGCCGCAGCTCCCCCATAAAGGTCACTCCGCTGCCGGCCGTCATCGACTGGCACTTGTCCAGGAACAGGGTCTGGTTGGTGACGGTCCAGATTTGCTCCGTCTCGTGGCCGTAGGGAAACATGAGCGCCTCGCTCTCGGCCACCACCGACTGGATGGTGAAGTCGGTCGACTCGCCGTTGAGCACGTAGTAGGCGGTGGCACTGCGGTTGGACGCGGTCAGGTGGCAGTCGTCGGCGCGGCACGAGACGGCCGGCGGCGTCAGGTGCTGCCAGATGGGCCTCGTCCGGCAGTTCTGGTAGTTCTTCGTCTTGGTCACGGTGAACGGATGGAACGCGTCCCACTCGGGCACGCTGACGCCGCGCCGGCGCAGCTCCTCGCCGGCGTCGGCGCGTAGGTTGTCGGCCAGCTGTGGCGTCACCTCGTACATGGTCTCGCACTCGCCGCCGATGCTGTCCTCCATGACGCGGAAGAAGCGCTCCCTCTCGCCCACCTTGCCGGCCGTGTAGGTGTCGGGCTGCGAGAGATGCGGCAGCTCGATGGAGTTTTGCTGCTTCAGGTCCATCTGGAACAGCTGGGCGATCGACTTCTTGATGTTGACCACCCACGTGGGCTCGCCCTGCGACGTGACGATGGTGCGCACCTGGCCGTTGTTCATCTCCACCTTGAACTTCTCACTGAGCGGACCCTGGAATTGCGGGACGGCCGACCACGGCATGGGCAGGCCCTCGCGCCACGGCTGCTGCACCAGCTCGTTGTGCAGCTCACCGTGCTTGATGTTCTTCAGCTGGACGTACAGGCTATCCGGCGTCGTCGCCTGGATGTCGATGTCCATCTTCAGGCCGATGGCCGACCATTGCGTCCGGAGGCCCGGAATGCCGCTGGCTTGCTTCGCCTCGTAGTGGTAAGTGCACTGCTGCTTGGGCTTGAAGCCCAACTCGGCGGCACACACCGACACTGCGGGCAGGTAGGGGCAGCGGTCACTGGATGTCAGCGGAGGAGCGTGGCGAAAGCGCCGCGGGGTCGCGGTGACAGGAAGGCGCGAGGTTGGACGAAGCCGGTCGGAACGAGTGTCTGTGAGGCTGAAGGAGACAGGCCGAGGCGTCAGGGGACGCCGAGGTAATGATTCAGAAGGAGACGGACCGAGGCGTCAAGGGACGCCGAGGTAATGATCCGGAAGGAGACAGACCGAGGTGTCAAGGGAGCCGAGGTAATGATTCAGAAGAAGACAGACCGAGGTGTCAAGGGACGCCGAGGTTATGATTCAGAAGGAGACAGACCGATGCGTCATGGGACGCCGAGGTAATGATTCAGGAGACAGACCGAGGCGTCAAGGGACGCCGAGGTAATGATTCAGAAGGAGACAGACCGAGGCGTCAAGGGACGCCGAGGTAATGATTCAGAAGGAGACAAACCGAGGCGTCAAGGGACGCCGAGGTAATGATTCAGAAATGTAGGTAAACTGGAACTGGGGAGAGGATTCCGAATGCATGCTGCCAGGTTTATGGTTCATCGAATTAGTGGATATGCAGTGATCGGGAATCGGACGCAAGGGCCAAAAAGTGTGTTTAACCCGATTTATTTGGAAATCAGGTTAAGCGATTTCTGTCTTTCTCTTAACCGATTTTTAATTGGGAAACCCGAGGTCAGGACTGCCTCTCGGGGCCCTGGAAGTTGCGAGTGTGGAGGCGAGGGTGCATTTCCGCCGCCTCCCATTAAACTCAGAACCCGGCGGACAGGTCATGTCGCAAGCGGTCTTACACGGGTTCGTGTGATCTAGTCTACACTTCCATGAGACAAATGCGTACAGAAAGGCGCTGTGGACAGCCACAAATGAGCCTTACGCGAACTCAACGCGGTGTCTTACTTATCTTGTTGCTTCAGATAGAATGCACAAAATGCTCGTTGCGTTACGTCATGTTACTGAGGCAAACATTTTTTTTTTTAGAAATGAACGGTCAAGTTACAATTTGAGAGGGTCGAGGTTTTCCCATTCATAAGTATTGTCATCTGGGGCATTCATTTGTAACCCCCTGAAAAGCAGTTCACAACGTTTTGAGCATACACATATGCAAAGAGGCGACCTATGTCTGTAGTGTAGCCGATCTCACGCGGTAGAACAGGACAGCATCACCATCTTTTGTTTTCAAATGCCACTCGTGTGTCCGGATGCCATTCGTGTGCTTTACCAAATGTCACCGGTATGAACCTCCCTATACAAATGTGATATCACCCTTTACCATGTGATTCATGTCGCCCTGATACGAAAATACGTCAAGTTCTTCGACCACGTTTCCCTAAACTCGCCCTGTAAATCTTTGCCTTAAATAGCCTTTTAAGTTGCAGGCGATAAAAAAAGGTTCAGAAAAGTGCGCAGGGTCCAGGAGTTTAAAAAAGAAAACGAACAAGTTGCCGCTTGGGTAAAGATATCTCAACGGAACCCGAAGACCGGCATACACTACACTGGCGTGGCGGTGGTTTTGGACGTGAGTTCGGCGTTTGTGCCACCGCAAGGCTACCGGTCACTATCCAGCGTCGAGTTGAAACCGGTGAACTGATCGACATACTTGATCTGAAACTCACTGATGTAATCGATTGAACTAATCCAGAGACCGGCTGATAAAACGAAAAGAAAACCTTGAGAGCTGTGGGTATTAGACTTACCGCCATACCCGTGATTCACACACCCGCTGTCATTCAAAAAGCAAACCTCCATTACAACCATTGGCACCGGAGACGCTGGCAGCGGGCCACGCAAACCGGGCAACGAAACGTGAGCGTCTCAAAATCTGACCCAGGAACAACAGAACATAAAGGTGGTGGCAAGATGCGACATCTAAATGTTGTTTAACGTTAATGTTATCATATTTATTCGGTAGTTTGTTGCGCCCATCTGTGCCTTGTGCTCATCTTTAACTGCTGTGATATTCCAATGACATAACACGATGGCTTACTCCGCTCAATACCTCAAGCAGCTGAAGATCAATTCACGTTAAATGTTTTAGAATTAGATTGGGCGTGGTAGCCATGATGTATTACACTCGTGTATGCTCTGAGTTAAACGTTGGCAACTTCTTTCAAAGCATCTTATGCGGGATACAATTTGCTGGTGTGGGCGCCACCGGCTCGGGAACAGTCATTCAAACGTGACGACCTGCTGCGTTTCCCAACATTATTCGATTCTGCCCAGCTGTATTGACCCGGGACAAACAGATCCTGGTGGCGGTCGGGGTGATAGACGGAGCGACCCTCAGTGTTCACCGAGGAAACGCCAGCGGTCTGTCACAGTCAGAAAGACTTTCGCTGGCATATATCATTGCGACTACCAGTCTTACCACCGTGATATTTCCACCACAGTCAGTGTACCTTTTACAAGCTGTGCTGGAATATTTTAGGACTTTGAAATACAAGGTGTGCGGCCAGATGGCATATTTTTGTGACGTTGCTCTTGATCACTATCCTACCGTCTGTTTTATTAACATGGGAAACGTAGCGTTTGAAAATAATGACAAAGCTGAAGAATGCTGGCTTTAATGCAAGTCCAGATCTCAGCGGCTAGGTGTGCAGCGGCATGAGGCTAGTACCTACCGCCGGAGAAAAACAAACTGACCGCTGAATATTTGATGATATTGGCGCTGATCCTTGTGTTATAGCACCACAATAGCAATACTTCCCTTACAGACGTATCTCCCCCATGCTGGAGGCCGTTGCTGAAGGTCGTGCAGTTTTGGTAACAGCGTATCTCCCCCATGCTGAATGCCGTTGCTGAAGGCCGTGCAGTTTTGGTAACAGCGAGCCGACCAGCCATAGCAGGTGGCGAAAAGCTCTTTCAACGACCAACAGACTAATTATGTGCTACAACAGCCATGTACCGCAGTGGAGCCCATGCGGGCACTTCGACAGCAGTCGCCATACGTGAAGACAACATAAACCAGTGAACGATGCCCATGGACAAAGAATAGACCCGCAGACAGGGGTACGGTGCCGGTGACGCCAGCGTGCCGCGGGGGGCTGCAGAGCCGCGCCGCGAGCGAGCAGACCGGCCGACTTACCGAGGAGCAGAAGCAGGAGTTTGGAGGCCATCGTGGCAACGGAAGATCCCACGACCTCTGACCACGAGCTGCCGTCTAGCTTCTCTTTTATGTGATCCGCGCGCCTGTTTATGCCACGTGACCGGCGCCTGTTTATGCCGCTAGCCGGTGCGACGTGTTTGTCAGTGGGGTTGTGAACCCCCTCCTCTGGCAGTTGTTGCCAACTCGCCGGCAGGCGCCGTGCTCCGCAGCGGTGGCCTGGTGCTGGTACAGGGGCTCCGGGGGAGGCGCGGGGGCGGGGGACGACATAGTCATGCCGTTTTCTTCTTTGGCTAGGATCACTTTGTGTTGCCATTTGTAGAGAGGAGAAACGCTCTTTCATAATTGCTTACTTTTGCCTACAATAATACAGCTCTGAAAGACGCCCGTGTAAATGTTTGCATAATGGAAGGTGGGGTTAGGCTAGGTATATTGGCGTGTAAAAGATGACATGTTTAAGAATGGCTGACGTACATACGGGTGGCCCGCATAATTAAGTTCAAGGTGTGTTGTCCTCACTGTGACCAGATGTGACCACGAACGCATCCTTCGCATCACCTGCGATACCCTTTCTTGGCCGCCCCGTGCGGCCATGTGGATCCTCGCTGGGCACCATGTGCGGCCATGTGAATCCTCGCTGGGCACCATGTGCGGCCATGTGAATCCTCGCTGGGCATGGACCAGCTGATACGATAAAACAAAAGGGCTTTGGCACATGTGGATCCTCGCTGGGCATGGACCAGCTGATACGATAAAACAAAAGGGGTTTGGCACATGTGGATCCTCGCTGGGCATGGACCAGCTGATACGATAAAACAAAAGGGGTTTGGCGCATGTGGATCCTCGCTGGGCATGGACCAGCTGATACGATAAAACAAAAGGGGTTTGGCGCATGTGGATCCTCGCTGGGCATGGACCAGCTGATACGATAAAACAAAAGGGGTTTGGCACATGTGGATCCTCGCTGGGCATGGACCAGCTGATACGATAAAACAAAAGGGGTTTGGCACATGTGGATCCTCGCTGGGCATGGACCTGCTGATACGATAAAACAAAAGGGGTTTGGCGCATGTGGATCCTCGCTGGGCATGGACCAGCTGATACGATAAAACAAAAGGGCTTTGGCACATGTGGATCCTCGCTGGGCATGGACCAGCTGATGCGATAAAACAAAAGGACTTTGGCACATGTGGATCCTCGCTGGGCATCGACCAGCTGATACGATAAAACAAAAGGGGTTTGGCGCATGTGGATCCTCGCTGGGCATCGACCAGCTGATACGATAAAACACAAGGGCTTTGGCACATGTGGATCCTCGCTGGGCATGGACCAGCTGATACGATAAAACAAAAGGGCTTTGGCACATGTGGATCCTCGCTGGGCATGGACCAGCTGATACGATAAAACAAAAGGGTTTTGGCACATGTGATTTTTGGCGTCTTGGGTTTGGTGGCAGGAGCTAAGCTTGTTATCTTTTTAAAGCATTAGGACACGTAAAGCAGGTAAAAACCCATCCAGAGGATTATTTGAGCCGTGCTTGCAGGTACGGGCAAATCCTGTGGGATTTACTAGTCAACCGCTTCTACGCCTCTTGCTTAACGTCATCTGCGTTTTGAACGAGCACGTTCCGAACGTCGCCTGCGTTTTGAACCAGCACGTTCCGAACGTCGCCTGCGTTTCGAACCATTACGTTCTGAACCAATGATGGAACGCTTTTCATTACAAACGCTCGTGGCTTTTGAACCGTAACACGTTCGGCTCACCCTACTTCGGCTCACATAATTTGGCACCCTATTCTTAACGTGCTCGTCTATATCTAAACGTTTGCATGCCTGCATTTTGTCTAAATTTGGAAAAATCCCGATCTCTCCTTATTATATTATTCTTGTTTAGCCGTTCAGATACTGGTTTCAGAGAACGCAACCGCACGCTCGACCTGAAGCGGTGGGAGTACCGCGATCGGCAGTCGCCACCGATGATCTACGCCACGATCAAACCCGATGTTCAGCTCGTACGTCACGCTCTTCATGTGTGAGGGACGCGGATTTATCTTTAGATATATATTACCGATATATACCGACCTCACGTCATCGTGTTAGAGTTATCGGAGAAGCAGCCACATGCTCTTTAAAATTCAGTAAGAGAACGTTAGCCTTGAGACGTTTCTGCAAACGATATGCAAAGCTGACGGCACGGCCTATTGCGGTGCCCTGTCCCCATAAAAGCCTTGACAGATGCGTCTACATTGGATCGGAGTTTTTCAGACATCCCGAGAACATCTCGGTATCGGCCGTCTCAGATTTCCATTCACGGTCAGCATTGTCGCCAGCGTCTGGGTGAGCTGACTGTTGTCTCCGGAGGTTCATCTGACGTCTCTCTGATCTGCGGCTCCTGCTGCGCCCCTGATCTCCGGCTCCTGCTGCGCCCCTGATCTCCGGCTCCTGTTGCGGCTCTCTGTTCTCAGGCTCATGAGGCACATGCGATGGCTCCAGGATGAGACTACGCAATTGACTCGGCGTTTCGGTAGGATGGCTTTCGCAGGGTCAAACGAGTCAACCACGCGCCACACCGAACGAACACACAACGGCCAGTGAGAGAACCCCTGGGACCGGGCGATGATGCGAGTCCCCTCCCTCAACTCCTTCCCCGTGGGTCGTATTGCTCAGAGAGTGCTTTGATGGCAGACTTGTCAGTGCCTGTAGGGTGCTATTAACTGCGCGGTTAGGGTTGGATAGTACGATAGCCAAAAGTGTTTGCATACAATGGCAAGTTGCCGAAGCCTCACGTACAACGTTTTGAAGATACGCAATCCAAGATTGGGGATATATCCAGGCATGATGATCTTGAGCTGACCCGGATAGTCGGGTAGAAGCAATGAACCTATGAGCGTGAGACATAGTACCAAATTCCACATTCGTTGCGCCACCCTAGCGCTGCACAGCCCCAGACGAAAATGGCACGTCATCAGAATGGATACTCCACATCAACGGCGTATTTTTGCGGGCTACCCTCCCCCTTGTCTGTATAGATTTCATAAAGCAAATTGTAGAAATTTTCGTTGGTCATATATTTGCAGGATAAAAACTACTTACCAGGGCTAATTTTATGGCAAGAGATGTTTTTCACTGCCCGTCAAAATGTGTCTAGCTGGGTCACGTGCCGTAAGGTTACCAGACCAGGTGACAACAATGTACACGAAACAAAAATCGTCGAATCGCGAGCCCAGCAGTACGTAGGGTCGCCAGAGGTCACGCCAGAGGTCACGCCAGAGGTCGGCGAGGCAGACTCTTCGCACCTCTCACCACTAATAACCCCACTGGTTGGAGAGGAACGCTCCACTCCATGCCTTAGCATCGTTTCACGGTTTGGCCTATTTGCGCGCAGCGTCATTTGCGGGATTTTATCGCCCACCAGCCAGGCGATGGCCGAGCGGGCATGTTTTCCGCCTTGTGAGTCTTAAGCACGCTCTGTTTGGATTGCGGCTGGTTTGCTGGCGTTGGTTTTCTGGTTTGTTGCCCACGAAGGTCCAGACCACGATGAGCTGGCGCCAGAAACTATCCACGGAATTTTACCGACCCTCGGTCGGTCCGCTACGTGCTTCACTTCTTTCACCCTTGACCGTGCTCCCTCTGTCGGCGTCGCTGACACCGGCAAGAGCTCTGCAAGCCGGAGGGTGGCGCCATCTGTGGTGACGCTTCGCCGGTCTGGGGACCTGATGCGCCGCCCAACCGAGCCGCCAGATGGAGCCGCGTGCCGGGCACGACGGCACGCCGCGTGCCACCGCTGCTCCTTGGATGGCCGCTGGGACCACGGCCAACCCACCGGAGCGGTGGAGGGGAGGCTGGACCGCGTGGACTGGAGGGCTCCTCGCCTGGACCTCCGAACCACTGACAACCGACGCCGCAGCTGAGGTCAACCGCCACTGGCTTTCCGTTCGGGCGGCCGATGCAGCTGCGTGCTCGCGAATCATGTATTAGCGATCGAAGACGCCCGACGTTTGCGCCACTCGCTGACTTCAGCGTCGAAACTATGTCGCTGTGAGCGTTTGCGGGATGCGGCTCCAGACATGGACGTGGTCTGGGTCCTGCACAGAACACTAGTCCTCCCATGGACGTGGTCTGGGTCTTGCACAGAACACTAGTCCTCCCATGGACGTGGTCAGCATCCTGGGCAGAACACTGGTTCTCCCATGGACGTGGTCAGCGTCCTGGGCAGAACACTAGTCCTCCCATGGACGTGGTCAGCATCCTGGGCAGAACACTGGTCCTCCCATGGACGTGGTCAGCATCCTGGGCAGAACACTGGTCCTCCCATGGGCGTGGTCAGCATCCTGGGCAGAACACTGGTCTTCCCATGGACGTGACGTGGAGTCCTGGGCAGAACACTGGTCTTCCTATGGACGTGACGTGGAGTCCTGGGCAGAACACTGTTCCTCCCTTTGAACGGTAGCGGGGCATGCGCTGCTTCCTGAGCCGTCTCGTGGAGCGAGGCGTGTCGGGGAGCGTCACAATCTGGGTGGTAGACAGATGGCGCGCGACGACGTCCAGGATCGGCGCCGCTGGCCCCAGCCCTGCGTGGGGTGTCGATTTCGGTGTAGACATCTATTGGTGGCACGTGACAGTTTTGAAGATTGATGTGCATCTGACCATACAAGGCTGTCGGGAATTAGGAAGTCCTTGCCCTGCTCTGGAAGATTTGCTTCCTTGCCCCTTGTACCCATCTGATCCATCTCATAGTCCCACTCCGTCTTCACGCATGTCTGCGTGAACCTGGAATGTAGTCACGATCTCTGCAATACACAAGCATGGCGATCTATGTGGGCTTAAGATCATTCACCCTTTTCCATCTAGTCTGACCTCTCAGAAATGTGTTTAAAGGGAATTATTCCCATTTTAAGATATTAAAGGAAGTATGAGGTATGATAAAACAAGCTCACTTATGTTGGTATACTTTTTAAGCGGAAAAGACTACTCTAGTTTAGTAAATATGTTCAATTCTGGGTTCACTGTAGTTTAAGCATAATTCCGTTTTTATTTTTATTTTAGTTTTATTTTATTTTATCCGTTTTATTTTA